AGGTTTCAGATTGCAACCAACAGCACACGCTTTACATATTTGTGACTGAAAATAAGTTACAACTACGTCAGCTAGTTATCAACTGGTCGGCGTTTGCAGGCAAGCTAACGTTATCTAGTTTGAACCAACTAAAACACAAAATCACACTGTTTCACATGTTTTGCAGTAATGTTGCGCACATAAACATCACAGCCTGTGTGAGACGAGTCCTTCACAAAGAAAACAGCAGGCCTGAACAGGCTGTTATAGGCAACTGAGAGAGTTGGTGAATGCCTCAATTTTTAGGTCACGTATAGGCAATAAAATGTTATAAATATGTTTAAATTCCTTTTAAAAACTTAGAAAAACTCTCTGTTGCATTGTCATGCACTGACAATGTTGGTTGGCTATTTGGAGCAAAGCATCTTACCAAACTATGAAAATTTATTTTTAACCAAATAGGCAATTATTTAACTGTCCTCTTCATCACAATGTAGTTACATTTGTTCTTCGCAGACACTTTGGGGGCCGGACTTTCAAAATTAATTGCCATATTAGGCCTACTGCTTAATATTTTCAACTTTCGCAAAATTAAACTTTTTATTAGCTTAGCCTATATCAGCGTGAACAGAAACCTTAAAAACATGGTAGGCCTAAATCCATAATGATAAATCTACACAGGCCTGCTTAACTAGAAAGTGCTCTCAGACCGCAGCCGTTCAGTAGCGCAGCATTACTTGGATTAGTAGCTAATAATAATAGTGACTGTGGTACACACTACGCAGGTGTGGAATGGGCAGCTGAAGAAAAGTATGTTGATTCCAAGTAAGAAAATAATGATGCCTTTACATAATAAACTGTTAATACAATTAAGTTCCTCCCTTTCTCCCTTCCTCCCGAAGCTGTGTACATGGATGTGAAGATAAAGATGGGTAAGATCAAGCAGGAAACTAAAAACTGCAGAGACAGTGGAGTATGGGCAGATTAGAGTCCATCATTGGCCAAAAATAACACATCCCCGTCGCAGTGCCCCTTTATGGTTGATCGTTTTTAAGTTAGATGTTATTTAAAGACTGGCCTGTTAGCCAACCAGCCTCAGTCTCAGGGAAAAGTCTGAGGTAAGCACATATTTTACCTCAGAATTTCTGCTAACGAAGTTCCAGCAACTTCACTAAAAGTCTAACTCTACCCCACTGTTGTTTCATCACTGTAATACTTTGACTTTTTCTAATCTTATGACAATTGTATACAGGCTAAACATGATTTTGAAGTAATGACTTGGAGACGCTGCAGGTTAATGTCAGTAGTTAACTATCCAGCTGCTTTAATACACTTTTCTTTCCTATCTTCAGAGTTTATCTGATGTTAGCTAGCTGAGAGCCCACACTGTCATTTTATTATAACTATGTAATTTCATATTTTATGTAATTGTCAGCTAACACATGGTGCTCAGGCATGAGCAGTGAAATCGGGGATTAGTTATTGTAGAGATACATTTTTACATCAATATGGAGTTTATTATTTCATTTGAAGTCTTGTGTGAGTCCTTTCATGGCGTTTGTTTCAACTCTGGACTTCCCACAAATTCCCAATTCCCCAACAACAGTGTCTGACTGCTGCTTTATTGGACGCAGATTACATCATTCACAGTCAACATGAGCAAGAGGAAAAGAGATATTTGCTAAAAAGCAGTAAATTGAAACTTTAAACTTGATGAGAATGATAAGAATTAGGAATTAGAGATGATAACACAGACTGTATTTTATGATAGTGTCTTTGGTTCTGGTTCAACATTGTGTGGGACGGCATTTCAAACATCGGGAAATTACAGGATGTGGTCTTCAACAGAACATTAAGAGAAGGACAAAGCCTAAAAACCCAAAATCGGCCACAGGGAGGCGCCGAAGAGTTGAATGGGAAATGACGCTGTGTGAAGTGAAAATCACACTCCTCTGAGTGAAATCTGAACACACAGACATTAAACACATGTTGATGTTATTCAGTGTGACTTACACTTACAAAGTACGTCAATAAATCCACTTAGAAATCACAGGAAGAAAAGATACTTCAGAATTTGCCTGAGGATTATTACATTTTTAAGGTTTTGTAGATATCTATTGATAGTTGCCTTACTTTTAATGCAACCACTACTACTATTAATTTTAATTGTGCTAATTTGCCAAAATGTAAACAAATACAGGCTAAAAACACAGGGCTCCATAGAGAATACCAGTACCTATCTGTAGTAATGATCATATCAGTTTCCAAATAGTCCTATAAATTTATGTTTGTGTTTATCAAATCAAAGAAAAAATACTTTAAAACCACTTTAAAATACAAGGATGTCGTTGCAGATGGGATTTAAATCATAGAACAACCAGCTAGTTCACAGAAAAACAGTAGGTAGTTGCGGCCGTAATTATTATTTTTACAATTTTATGTTAGGGCTTTTTATTTTTTACATTTATATTGGATATTTTTATTTCCATTTTATTCTTGTATTATTTTAATTATTGTAATTGAAAATAATTTTTATTTCATTGCAATTCTGAAAAAGTGCCCTATAAGTAGCGTTTATTATTTATGTACTAATAGTATTAGTAGTAGTATTACTTAAACTTTACTGATTCCATCAAAATTCTTCCTCTTTTTTTGGTTTCCATTGTGCAAATGCCTCTGAGTGTTTGCACTTCATTTCACAAAAATGTTTTTCTGTGTGACAGTTTTAGTTTCAGACTTTATTTTTAGTTATTCAGAAAGGAAGTTAGCTGCGACCACAGCAACGGCATTCAATAACTACATTGACATATGAATCAAAACAACACTTTTAAAGAAGTGAAATTCAATTAAATAAAACAAAATAAGTTGAAAATTGATAAAAGAATAATAGACAAAGAATTAAAAAAACAAGTAGCAGTTGCACTGAGGTATAACAGCCCCAGATTTGACACAAGTAAAAGTGCTGTGCATAAAATGTATTAAAAGACACACAAGTGTACTAGACAGTTAGATTTAGCCACTCAGTTGAACTATTAGGTGATTAAGATGGAGTTTTTCTGTCGGCGAGAGGCAGCAGACCTGGTTTCTGGGAGGTCTGTGGAAATGAGACATTGACGACAGATGAGATTCTGAGTTCTCAGAGACACTTTTTGTTTTGCCTTCTCCTCCATCATGAATGTTTGTCATGGTGACGCTCGTCACGGTTAGTTGAGTTTTTCCCACTTACGTGACAAACAGGCTGCAACAAGAGCTCTGTCAGCACACAGCCACCCATTAAGCACTCTGGATGTGTTGAAGTGGTCAGTTAAGGCTCGGGGTTTCCGTGTTGTCAGGCTTTTTCTCAGTGGGGGGGCAGTGGTGGAAGAAGTACTCAGATCTTTTACTTGGGTAAAAGTAGCAATACTATAAAGTCACGCATTACTTTTTTTTTTTTTTTACATAACTAAAAGCGAACAAGTGTTAGCATGAAATATACTAGAGCTCCAAATATTTAGCAAAATGGTCGATTTCAGAATCACATATTTACTGTTGCAGCTGGTGAAGCTGAGTTTAATTTAAATCAGTTTATATTGGCCTACTTTATCCTGTGGGTAGCTTGTGAGTATCAACATCAATATAGTTTTACCTTTTATTTGTTCATAATATTTTGTATTATAAATTTACATCAACAAAGAAACGAAAGTTATCAAATAAATGTAATGGTGTAAAAAGAGCAATATTTGCCTCTGGAATGTAGTAAAGTAGATGTATTTTAAATATTCAAACGCTCACATAAAGTACTGCACCTTAGTTCTAGTACACTACTTCAGTAAATGTACTTTTGTAATAACACTTATAGCTAAAAATGACGTTTCATGTTTCACTCTGATTAGAGATATAGTTGGACTTAATAACTATAATAACAGCAGGAGAAAGGAGTCGTGGCTAAGCTCAGTGTAAAAACATGATGGAAATATGACATGTCATGTATTAATGTGAAGAAGGCTCCAGTCTCCTCATCATACCACACAGATCTGATGTTTTCAGCTCTTCACTGGAAGCTTCAGTGACGCTTCATACGTCATTAATTCACTAAGTCTGTTTCCGTTTTGTTTTTATCCAGACACAAACCTTCTCACCTCAGAGGAAAGAGAGGAAACACCTTTTTGCGACAGTTTCAGTAAATCATTTCCGGTGTTTCCACACTGTTGTTGTGGAGGAAAGGCCACGCTGTTACCTAAAGCAAAAGGATTTAACTGATGTTAGCATGTTAACAACATTACAGATCCATGCAGATTAAAAGTTGAGTCTGGTTTTATTCTTTAATTTTCTCATTGTCGACATTGTCCCATAAAAAATAGCAAAACCAACAGCGTGTTAGTCTGTTTCTCATTACTTTCTGACTTCCCTCCCTTGTGTGTGGTTCTCAGCTTCAACCCCAAATTGGTTCCTTTATAAATCTTTAAACCTGCAACAGCGAGAGTGCAAAGAGTCCCCATCCTTAATCCAAGAAAAGCTAAATGTTATAAGCGGCTATCACTTCATCTTCCCTCTTTTATAAAAACGTCAGTAAGTAACATTATTATATTAACCTGAGCAAGGTGTGAAAGGACGTAGCATCATACTATACATTAAACGTCATCTAATGTGCTGTTTAAGATTAGCCTGTGTTTGTTAATTAACTTATCGTTACCTTTCTATCTTGAGCGGATGGGGAAAAAGTGGAAAATGTATTTTTTATATGTTTTTCTACACACATAAACCTCTCAAACATTTATCTCACAGCTAACAAACTACAAGAAAGAATATTTAGCTGACAACAATACTTAAAGTCTTGAGCAGAGAACTGTGTCTGATCAGTTCAGGATGATCGGTGATCAGTATTTGTCAGTAAGAGGTCATCAGATCATGTCGGCTCATTAGCTCAGTTTGTTTTACTAAGTGCTGTAACCGGTCAATCAGAAGTAAACAGTGTGACTTCATGTGTGCTGGCTGGCAGCTCATCTGTTTGCACAAACACAAACACAAACAGCAGTGGGCGTGTCCAGGCGGTGGTGATGGAGTATAAATGGAGAGGAGCTCTTCTGTTCTGCCTCACACCAACCAGCTCTCAATCAGCTGCCCTGCTACTGATACTACTCTTCATCACAGAGCTACTCCGTCCATCTCCTCCTCCTCAGGTGAGTTATATCCACCTCCTCCAACTTTATTCTACGCTCCCTCATCTATCTACTCCTCATCCTCCCCCCTCTAAATCTAAAGGTGAGCTTTCCTTCTCCTTCTACACCTCCACTTCCTTCTGTATCTTCTCCTCTATCCTAGAAACTTTCTCCAAAATACAAACTTTGTCCAGCTGATTGGACTCACAAGTTGTCCCAGTCACTGCGTATTATCTTCACTTTTACAGTATCTGTTATAGTTGTTAGTATCTAAAGATAAAAAGCGTCTCTGTGTGTTCAGATCTCCAGCATGGCGGCGCTGTGGCTCCAGTCTGTCTCTCTGCTGGTCTTACTGATCGTATCGTGGCCGGGCTCCCAGGCCTTCACACCTCCACAGCACCTGTGCGGCTCTCACCTGGTCGACGCCCTCTACCTGGTCTGCGGGGACAGAGGCTTCTTCTACAACCCCAAGAGAGATGTCGACCCTCTGATGGGTGAGAGCATCAACTTCAAACCTGCATGTCATCATTAAACAGAAATACGATTCTTCTGAACTCGGCATGGATCCCAAAGATTAGCCGGTGTTAATGTTGGCACCTGATTTTGTTTTAGTCTTTTGAGGAAAATGTTTATTGGGTGATGATGACTTCCCCTCTGAACATCTGCCTGTTTGTCCTATCAGGTTTCCTCCCTCCGAAGGCGGATGGAGCAGCGGGAGCGGGTGGCGAGAACGAGGTGGCCGAGTTCGCCTTCAAGGACCAGATGGAAATGATGGTGAAGCGAGGCATCGTGGAGCAGTGCTGCCACAAGCCCTGCAACATCCCCGTCCTGCAGAACTACTGCAACTGAACGGCGCTTAGCTTAGCTTCTTAGCTAACTTGGCCTGAAGCCTCTGCCCCCGCCACTACAACCCCACCAGAATCAGAAGAGCGGCAGTGCTGTCCTCTCTCAGAAAAACCAACTGCTGTCTAATGAAGTGCTGAAAAATGAAATTATTTTTCCTAGAAAATAAAGTTTTGTGTATTGAGTAAATATCAAGATACGTGTGCTCATTATTACTTACTTTATTGTCACAAGTTCAGTTAATTAACTAAAGTCAAAATGATGTTACATTATTAACTAAACCACTTGCAACCTTTAAGATTTCAGCCCTGGTTGATTTGGCGTCACCGTGTAGGTGTAGTTTAGCTACTTTGTCAGAAACGTTAAATTAGCCAGTGTATATGGTTTGTTTACGGTGCAGCCAAACAGACTCAGGTTGTTTTAATAAAAAAAGTTAGTAATTAATATAACATCTGATTTCATGCTGCACGCGGCACCCGTAGGACACAGTATTGCATGTCACAGCAGCAGCACTTGGTTCAAAGAATAAAAAATAAAAAATGTCAAACTGGTACGGAAACGCGTGCAAAGTTACTGTATTTACAAGTTATGTGCAAGAAGTTACAGAAAATGTAATTATAACATAGCGAGTTCCGTAAAACCTCAGCAGCTCAACTCCTCCTCTAATCACTGATCCATCTCCTGCAACTTTACAGGCGAGTTACTCCTTCATCTCAAATCTAATGTCTTCCTCCTCCTTCTCCTCTACAGGCGAGTTGTTCTAGTCATCTTCCACTAGGCTACTCCTAAAATCTCGTCCTCCTCTTCTCCACTGACTATCTCACCGTCTTTCTACACCTCCTTTTCCTCCATCTGTCTTCAAGGTGAGCCGCTCTCCTCCTCTACTCCAACTCCTCATCCGGGCAACATTAACATTTAAGTGTGTTACTCCTACTGCTCTGTGAATAACACCAAATGTTAATTATAACAGTAAATCTTTAAGTTATTACAGGTTTTTGTTACGGATTAAAAAAACTGAAAGTAAAAGAGATATAAAGTGCATTTTGCTTTTAATACCTATGTGGGCTCCTTTTTTTTTTTTAAATCTTGAAGGACATGTAACCGACTTTTACTTTAGAGAAAGATGTGAGTAGACTAAGTTAATTCCTCCACCACTGAGAAGAAAAAAAATGTTGATGAAAAGACAGGCCTACCTCAAATGTGTCGCAGGCAAGGGCGCCACTTTGTGTTGAAAAGGCGGTGGGGACACAAGGTCTCAGATCAGGGGCGAGATGATACACTTGGATCACGAGACTTGATGCACGAGAACAAGACGAGAAGATTTTTAACATTATTTTGAAGAACTCCTCACCCAGAAAATTTGAGCATTAAACACTTAATTTCCTGCATTAAGGAGACATTTTCTGCTCCAGTTTATGGTGGAACTGTCTTTATTCATATAAAGGGAAACAAAAAATTTAGCTGGCTGTTAATATAAACATATAACAGAATATAATATAAATCAGCAGCCTGTTTGTTTGTTTTTTTTAGCTTAAGTTACTTTTGCACATTTGTTTCTTCTACATTTAAATTGCATTGCGGGTTTTCTTGTTGTGCAAATAAACCTCTCTGAAAGCACAACATTTTTTTGGTGCAAGGTATTTTCAGAACATTTTTAACAAATGCTTTCAAAAAGTGAAGGGTGTCAGTGACACAACAGAAGTAGACTGCAGTGGCCTGTTTGAGTAAATGTGGTTAGTTTCGTAGTTTGTGATTCATTTCAGTCATTCTTTAGTTTGTAAATCTCCAGTGTTTAAAAGAGAGTTTCGGTAGTTTTTCCACTTGTCTTTCCTTTACTTGTGGGCGGGAAAGGTGATACCTGCCGTGTGACACCGGCTCAGCCCGGAGGGGCGGGGTCAGGTGTCGACGTGTTTACCTCCTCCTCCTCCGCAGGTGTGTTCGCTCGGCGTTGTCCGTGAAGTATCCTGAATGCGTTGTTTTGTCGTGACAACCGGCCCGATGTACCGAGAAAAGGCGTTGTTCGGTTTAAAGACATTTTGGTGAATGAATTCACTGAACTCCCAGTTCGGTGCTGTGGGATTGTTTCCTCAACAAAACAGCACCATGCGAGATGTTCACCTGAGTAATGAGACGTGCTGGATCGGTAAGGACATCTTGTCTGTCTGTCTGTCTCTGCCTGATGCTGTAAAGTACAAAAAGCAGTATTTCTGCGTAGCTACCACACCTGAGTACTTTGATTTCACTGCGTTTATCGGGCAGCTGTATCACATTATTACATTATTTTTACTCCACTGTTTATTAGCTAAATTTAGTTTGCCTTCTAGATTGAGAATACAAAATATTATCAATAAATAAAATATCATGGTATAATAAATTAAGCTACCCAGCAGTGGATATAAAGAAATTAAAATCACCTCCTTCATTAACATATCCATAATTACAATTAAATAGCCTACATATTATTCTGAAATGGGCCTTACTGCATAAATAAGTGCTTTTTTACTTAAGTATATTGTGATGCTCAATCTTGAAGGCAGGACTTTCACTTATAACTGAGTATTTCTACACTGCTGCATTGCTACTTTTACTTAAGTAAAATATCTGAGCAAATACGTTTATAGGCTATTTATATACATATACACACACACACACACACACATATATATATATATATATATATATATATATATATATATATATATGTGTATATGTGTGTATATATATATATATATATATATATATATATATACACACATATATGTGCTCAATTCTATGGATCTAAAAAAAACAAAAAAACCCCACCAAATATTCACATTTGAGAAGCTGAAACCTGTGATTTTTTGCTGGAAAACGATTAGGTTAGGTTAACTTGGTGCAGTGTTGCTTCATAGAAAAACATCACAAAAGACATCAACAAGTACCGGAGAAGCATCGACGTGTTTTACTTCACAAGAGGAAAATATAAACACAGAAGAAAAAGGACATTGTTGACAACATAGTTCCGTGGACTAAAGTGCTCGTGTGGTTGTTGCACTTTGCTTCATTGAACTGAAGTTTGTGTAAAGTGTTAAGGTGCTAGTATGTTTATTGCACATTGCCCTATTGCACCAAGATCACAATTAAAGTATTTAATACATATATTTATTGCACACGGGACTATTTTACATTGTTCAGATTGAGTTGAAGTTTTGGTAACGTTGTAGGGACACAGGTTAACATTTTATCAAAAAGCTTAGTGTCTAAATCATCTACGTACTTTTTTCAAAGTCAATATTTTAATCAATCAATAACTCACTTACATTTACCTCCAACCTGTAGTGGAGGAGAAGTATAAGCTCTCTGAATCGTGTCAACTGTGCTTCCTGTTTACATCCCTCAAGCATTATGGGTACTGTAGTAAAACAGTGGACTGCTTTTTTAACAGGCTTCTAATTTTCTGGAAAGATGTATGTCATTTGGAAACGACACAGAAAATAGAAGCTCTAAAGTACAATTTAAGTAAAAATTAATCTATTTTTAATGGATTGTTAGAAACATTGTTCTCTCTGTATTTGGTTAACTGAATGCTTGCTTGCATAGAAATGTCACATTTTTACACTCCGCACTGACTGAAAGCATGTAACTGGAATTAGTTTATATGAGGTGAACAAACTGAACTGTCTTTCCTCCTAATTTGTACCAAATTAATTAATTCTTTCCAGGAAACCTCAAGGAAATTATTAGGAAATCTGTTAGAAAGGAGACATAAAATAAATAACATTTATAACTGTTTTCTTCCTTTTATAGCTTCTGATGTTCACTTCCATTTTTTTTTTTTTTGCTTCCCAATAATTTTGGTTAACAAGAAATTTAAGCCTATGACATTAATATGAAATCGTATATTAGATCTGAAATAGTTTCCACTTCTCAGAATAGGTTACACAGACATTGTTACTTGTGTATACTGAGGCCTCAGTGTGGACTGTGTAAATATTGAACTGCTGTGCCTGGGTATGCTAGCGGTCTGCTTTCCTCATGTTACTCTAGTCATCATAGCAGTCAAACCAGTATTACACACTCCTTCACCCGTCACATAAAAAGGTTCACAGAGAGCAGAAACTCAGTCAGCAAACACTGACTCACACTAAAAGAGCTGCTCATCAATATTTTGATATTTAACATTAGGCCTATTACTAGTGCTGGACAACCATTAAAATTTTTAATTGCGATTAATTGCATTGTGCAAGATTTTATAATGAATTCTAAAGTAGTGTATTGGGCACTTTTAATTTAAATGTACTGCTATAAACACAAATGTGCAATAACATGTGGTTTGCAAACACTTTAAACAAATAAGGTGCTTTTTCCCAGCAGTGTTCCCTTTACACAGTAGCAATAAAATATTTCCTGTAAATCTCAACTTAAACATTAATGTAATCAAATCAAATATAAAACCGAAGCTGTTTGCCACTTCCAGGGCGTTACCTTTTATCTAGCTTGTTCAAACAAGTCAGAACATCATAACAGGCTCCTTCTGAGCAACAAGTTCACATTTATAAATCTGTTTTCAGGGATCAGCAGAAACATTTTTCTTTTATCAGGGAGCAGCAGAAACAGTCTGTGTTCAGCAGCAAGTGTCCCTGTTACAGTGAGCTGAAGTGGTCGCCTCACGCACACGCCGCCCGCTGCCAAAGCTGAATTGTCTTGAACGTTTTGTACGCAGCGTGCAGCAGAAATGATTGGAAGAGAGACTGATCCTCGCTGTTTGTGAGTTTCCAGAATCTCTTTCTGTTTTACTAAATAGGACATCAACAGGAGGGAATTCACACGGCAGAGCGTCCCCGCAAAACTAGATGAAGGCCTGTCAGGTGAAGTGATGTAGACGTTGTGATTTAGAGAACGTTCCTAAGACCGACATCTTCCCCAACACTAACCAGCATGCAGTGTGCAGCTCTCCACTTCGCTGTGGCGTTTGATCGCTTGTCTTATGTCTTCCGTGCATCCAGCGAAGCCTCCGTCCGCTGCTTGTTTGGGCGGCTGATTTGCGGGCTGATCAACATCCCGCCCCTCCTGTGAAGATGGATGGATGGACTTTCTGTTCATAGCTGAATTGCGCAATGTTACGCTGCCTTTTAGGCTCGGGCGGTGTTGTGGTATTAAGGTCGGTTTACCAGGAGCTAAGTGTTTTTTATGCTCTCTGTCCCTGCAGGGTCTGTGGTCAGGCTGTGGTGCGGCTCTGAGTCTGCAGTATGTTTGGTCAGTGGAAATCAAACACTGTTTGAAACACACCTCGACAACAGCACCCAAACAACAGGTATATCCCCTCACACAGACACACACACCGTTTACATATCTGTGTTAATGCACTTAGTGTTTACTGCTTACGAGGGGTGTTTGCTTGTGAGTAAACATCCTTGTTAATGGGTTTTTAAGTATCTTATTTAAAGATAACCTCTCTGTGTTTATTTAGGAGTCTGTAGTGTCACTTTACAGTGTTTAATTATGATCAGTCAACTCATTGAATAATGGTCTTAGCTCTAAATAATATATCAGCAGATATTCTTTTTTTTTAATAATAATAATAATATCATACGTGGATAAACAATTTATTTATAAGGATTTCTTAAATTTAGTTATTAAAGAAAAGTGACTCATTATGCAGTGAGTGACATTTTACAGGGTCAATGACCTCATACGTATCTTTGAAATTTCTTGTTCATGGCCGCCATTACGTTGACATGCTAATTTTGGCTGATAATATCAGCCTGGTCGGTGTTGTAACCTTAACTCACAAGTGTTATTTATACTTCTGCGTCAAGTCTACGCTGTAGCCTACGGCGTCAGCTACTCGCATAGCCGTGCATTTATACTTGTGTGTCTGTGTCGTTCTGCAATTACACCGCCAAATAGCGCTACAGCATCCACTGTGTTGACTGTTGCAGGTTGAGCAGGCTATCTCTGGTTTAGCCCTCCGCTAACTTGAATGAGGGTAAATTTGTATACGTGCGGCTGGTATAGCCTTTTAAAATGTTATCGACCGAATGGATCACGTTCTGATAGTGAAACGACTCATTACGCTCGGGTTGTGACGGTCAGATATATTAATCCACCGTTTTACAGCCCCTGGTTTGCCTGCTACAGGGTGTCTGCGGGGTCTTAAAAAGTCTTAAAAAGTAATAAATCAATTTTGTGAAAATTAAGGCCATTAAAAAGTATTAAAAGGTCTTTTAACAGGGTATTAAATTTTGTAGATATTTTTGTCAGTGTGAACATCCTTTTTGTCCAAAGAGTTTGTTTGGTAAAAGTGTGGGTGAACGTATTTATTTATATTGCATAGCCAAAATTACTAGACAGGCAGAACGTAGCGAGTTATTATTCTGTGTAACGTTAGGCGCAGGGATCTAGGATCAACCGTGCGAGACTTTCACTCTCATACGCCCCTAAAAAAAGATCCGTGCGAACCGGAAAACTGATTTACGAGCACAACAGACCGTAACCTTCCACCACGCCGGATCCCCAATGCTAATTGTTCAAAACATGGTCGGACTGAGCTCTGTGGCCGCTTGAACAGCCCCGTTACTCACAAACAAGAGCAAGATGCGCCGTCAGCAGGTGAAGCGATAAGACAGCAGACAACAGGGAAAATATAAGCAGCATATTGGTTTGGCTAACGTTTGCTGGCTATTTAGCTACATCGGTGCCTTTTTATTAAAACACGTTCAACTGTTCATTAAGCCGATGCGCTCGTCATCGTCACTTTTCGTGAGCAGATTAATCACAGCCTGGACGGAGCTGCATTTAATTACAAAGTTTGCTACAGCAAACTTTCCAAATGTTGAACTAATCGTTCTGCCTAAATAGTTGATTATTGACGAGTTAGTAGCCTACTTAAAATTAAAGTTAGAGACTAACTGTAGAATATTTTTCTTTCACAAAGTTAATGAATAAAAAACAACCCTGAAATGATTCAGCTGTAACTGGAATTAATATAATAATAGTGGTAAACTATTATAGAATATAGATTATAATGATTATAATTATAATGAATATAGTAACAACATATAATTAACATATTAATATAAAACTAACAGTTTACTATTATATTAACAATGTACTTTTAATATAATGTTATAATATTATACTAATACACTCATTTGTACTAGTTCCTCCTCCAGGTTGTGGATCGAGTGTAGTGGAAAGATTTAGCCAGAGCCAGGATGCCATTGTGCCAATATGTGCTGCTTCTAACCTCCTCCTGACAGCAACATGTTCCCCTTGTTCTATTTTAAATCTGTTTTACTAAAGTTTACACAAATCGGCTTTAGGATGCAGACAGCAGCTGTTGATCGTTGAGTGCTGCACTGCCTACACTACCGACGTTATCCATCACTCGCTTTATTCTCTTCACCTTTGTTCCTTTCTGGCCTATTTGAATTATGTTGTATTGATACAATGGTCGATGAAAGTTATCACAAAAAGAGTCTTTAGTTTTACAGTCTCAAAATCTATTTATAGTAAATGTAAGTTAAAGGTGGGCTGTGTGGTTTTTAGTGGCTTCTAGCAGGAAGGTTTCAGATTGAAACCAACAGCACACGCTTTACATATTTGTGACTGAAAATAAGTTACAATTATGTCAGCTAGTTATCAACTGGTTGGCGTTTGCAGGCAAGCTAACAATTTTTAGGTGAGGTTACAACCTGGTCACGTATAGGCAATAAAATGTTATAAATATGTTTAAATTCCTTTTAAAAACTCCACAATTCCCCTTTTAAAGTTGTGAGGCTGACTTAACTGGTTACAGCTCAAAGTGGCGCGGCAGTCTTTAAATTATGTTGAAAAGGTCTTAAAAGGTCTTAAAAGGTTTTGAATTTCACTTCTGGATTCCTGTATAAACCCTGTGCTAGTAAAATTCACTTCAAAGCACGGGGCACTTCCTGTCGGCTCACAGTTCTCACGGTCCATGCCGCCCCGACGCGTAGTTACATTTTTTTAAGGAGGTGCACGGTAGGTTATGGTGAAGGCGACTGCGTAGGGTACGGGGTTACGCGTAGGCCACACGTAGGCTATGCCGTCAATTCGACGTAGAAGTATAAATCACACATTAGCACACGGCGTATTCACCATGGGGAGGTGAACATTGAGGATCGTATGAGGCCTTTTCCACTACAGGAAGTTAACTGTCGGACATTCAAAGGTGGGACTGGGGAAATCTTATATCATGACAAATACCATGAGATAGAGCTGACAAAGACACAGCAAGTAATGTTACTAACGTTAGCTAAGTTGCTGCGACGGTAAAGGCTCGAGCAGACTACACGACATTCAGCGTGCTGTTCAGACTACGCAACTTGCCGTCATGTGACGGGAGTCTTGAAGTCGTTGTGGCGTTCACACTATGTGACTGATCGGTGACAGGGGGTCACACGCTACACGAGCTGATAGCGGCTCTGTCAGCCGACGCTGGTCTCCAAACCACGTTTTGTCAAGAAAACACATGTAAAATGTGAAACGGGAAATGACGCGAACCTTCACAGGAAACAGCTGTTGTTTGTTATTATAAATTGTAGCAATTAAATTAAATAAAGACAAAGAATATGCCAGCACACCAGCCCCAGACAGTAATACTCTCCTGCTGCTAAAGCTAACATCACAACAACAGCATGTGTTATACAGAGAGGGCTGTGGACACAGGAGATATTTGTGTGTTGGATTAGAATTGCATGTCACACCTTCCAGCGAGTATCCATTGTCACTGGTTCTTTTGTTTCCACTGAGAGGATGAGTTCCTGAAACTCCATTTCCAGGAGGTGATAGTAGATCAGGTACTCACTGGGGGACATGCAAAGCAGCAGCTCGTTTGCAGCACAGCAAACGGTATTAACAACGCAGGACATGTGTTTAGCTCATTCCTGTAAGGAAGTGAGTATTTTGCTGCAGTGTTTTGCGTTAGTCCCTGTCAGTTGTGGGCGTTTACTACTACTGCCTTTCTCAGTAACACACAGTTAGTGTAGCAGCTGCTATCAGCCTGCTCTACGGGGACGACGGCCAGATATTCAGGGTCCCCCAGAAGATTAAATTCTAACACACTTTTTGCGTTACCATCTAGCAACATCAGATTTCTTCCTTGAGTTTCATCTCACCAGGACTTTCAAGTCTCCCTTTCGTGATCCTCTGGCTTTTCATCTGTCGCCTTTTTTTTCCTACAACATTTTGGATGCTGTTATACAGAGATGTGTTTCTGTTATTTAGCCTACCATCGCTTATCGCACCTGAGTGATTTGCAGGACCCTCTGCCCACCTGTGGGTCCAGAGTATAACTGGATCAAAGTGGCCTGCAAACAGACGTGTCCTGGTTTCTCTGTAGTGTCCGAAGGTTTTTGGGGTTTCCAGCTGATAAGTTGGGTTTGCAGCACGTAGCCTCAAACATAACCAAACTCAGTGGAGTACAGACTAGCTAGAGAGAGTAGATACTTCTCTGTTTATTCTCTTTCAAAGACAAAAAACCCTCAGCCTGTTTTTATTTTCTATTTAACTTTTTTAAGCCTGATCGTACACTGCACTGAAACTTTTACTGTCCCGTGTTACCCTGTTTTTTTTTTTATTATCCTGTTTTTATTTTCTATTTCACCCTTTTCAAAATTATATTTTAATGTGTTTCTTTTTCATTTCCCTGTGTTGCTTTTATGTTTGAAGTAAAGCACTTTGAATTGCCTTGTTGTTGAAATGTGCGATACAAAGAAACTTGCCTTGCCTTATATAAATGGGGTGGACAGGATAATGAAAACACCTGTCCTTATAGTGCAAAGCAGTCACCATCACCACAAACTACATCCTTAAAAAATGATCATACAGCGGAATAAACACCTCTATAAAACAATCTCAATAAATACATTATAACCTTCATGAAGGATTTACTACAGGTCAACTTTAAAGTTAAAGTTTTGGGGAACAGTCGTTAAGTTCTCACTGTAGAAAAAAAGAACTGCATGAACGTAATAAAAATGATATATCTATGTGTTTTGTTGTTGTTTTTGCCCTGCTGAAAAGATAAGATAATAAGATCCATTGTTAAGAAGAGGAAAATGTCTCCATACTTCCTCAACACACACAATGCAGTCAGAAAGGAGAAGAATAGTGACACATTGTTTTGTACTCCAGTAGATTGAATTTTAAAACATGGAAGTTGAAGTTGCTGTCTTTTCCTCTTAATGTTACTGTAAATGTGCCGTGGAGACAAACTGGGGGCGGCTATGGTCAGCCAGTATTTATCCACGGTGCATCAGCTACTACACAGTTTCTGGGTGGGGGTTAATGTACGTAATAATATATCAGAGTTTTGCTTTTAGAGAGGAATTTGGCTGAACTGCACATCCAAATCCAAGCTAGTTCTGAGCAAAACAAAAGCGCTGGAAAAATCTGCTGTATAAATGTAATGTGCCGAAAAGAATCTATAAACAGTAATAATTAAATAGTTTGGATTTCCTCTTTAATGTTGCTCTTTTGCCGCTACAGAGGAAATACAGTCCTGACAAGTAAAAACAAGCTGAAAACTTCTTTCATCTGCGTCACTGGATGTCATGATGACTGAAAAGTACTTTAAGAGCCTGACAGGAGAGTGTGTGACTAGGGTGAACAAATAATCTGCGGTTACACTTAATGGAAGTATTTCATGTTTCACTGTTACGTTCCCTGAAAATGTCCAGGGAATGAGGGGAGGAACAATAAAGATTAACGCAGGAATCAAGGAAATCCAAGTAAGCACAAATAAGAAATGTATTAACAACTTGGATCAAAAGGAAAAAACAATATTAATCTAGCTTCCTATAATTACAAGGAAAATGTACATACATAAACTTATAAACAACCTCCCTCCTACAAGGGAGAGCACTGATCCCAGTACAACTGGAGTTAGCAACACCCACCCGTGCAGGAGGGGGAAGGGAAATACCTGCAGGAGGAGAGAATGAAACACAACAACAAGAGACACACGACACTCCAGCCGTAACATTCACTTCTACAAGAGAGAAGGCTTCACTGAAGAGCACTCTCTTCTTCTTGGACTTCTGCTTGAAGTGAGCTGGTACGCACGTCCACATTTTACTCTTTGGCGTACCGGGACTTCTCCCAATCTGCCGGTACTATCTCCTCTGCCCTCTCCAGATCAGGTTCTCTGGGCGCTACGTGGTTTTGGTGAACCGACCAATCACAGCCTGGATGGGGCGGGACAAATATTGACAGATAGGTGTCATTTTCACTGGGGACGCTCAGAATGTCTCCGTCACGGTTTGAAAGCTTTTGTTAAAAATGTTCTGAAAAACAACTTGCAACGAGAAATGAAAGAAGGCACAATAAGAAAACAATGCAACTGAAATATAGAAGAAACAAATGCTTTGTCCAAAAGCTGATTACTGCATTATATTCCATTATGTTTTTATATTTTGAATTGTTACCTGCCTCCTTAATTTTGTTTTCCTTCATATAAATAAAGACTTTCCATTAATAGGTGCAGAAAATGTCTCCAAATTAAGTGTTTAATGCTCAGAGTCATGACGCGCCTTATCTGAGCCCTTTGTTATATCTATTCACCACTTTACAACACAAAGTGACACAATCACCCAGTGTTTTTAAATGTTGAACTTGTTCTGCATGAATGGTGAATAAATCAAAGACTAACTACCATGTAGAGCATTTTTCTCGCACAGGTGGGCAGACTATCAAATTTCTTTCCACTTGGGGCCAATTCTTTGCTCTGATTTGTTACAATAGAGAGAACAAAGTGATAACAATCACTGTGAAAACATCAAGAGTGGGTGAAAGTGAGTTAATATGTAAAGAGGAATGTACATGGGACTTTAATTATTCATTTATCTGGAGGGCAGATCGTGTGTAACATGAAGTTCACCAGAGGTTTGCGCTGACACAGACAACAAAAGGACAAAAATAAGATGAAAGTCCCCCCTGATTGCAGATTTATTGATAAGGAAAAGTGTATAATTACTCCGACCTCATAACCAGCAACTAAATAGAAATATTACATTTAAATTAAAATACTGTTTACACGTGAAGCTGCTAGGTTTACACACCCCTAAACGATTATTAGGAACACCATACTAATACTGTGTTTGACCCCCTTTCGCCTTCAGAACTGCCTTAATTCTACGTGGCATTGATTCAACAAGGTGCTGAAAGCATTCTTTAGAAATGTTGGCCCATATTGATGGACAGCATCTTGCAGTTGATGGAGATTTGTGGGATGCACATCCAGGGCACGAAGCTCCCGTTCCACCACATCCCAAAGATGCTCTATTGGGTTGAGATCTGGTGACTGTGGGGGCCATTTTAGTACAGTGAACTCATTGTCATGTTCAAGAAACCAATTTGAAATGATTGGAGCTTTGTGACATGGTGCATTATCCTGCTGGAAGTAGCCATCAGAGGATGGGTACATGGTGGCCATAAAGGGATGGACATGGTCAGAAACAATGCTCAGGTAGGCCGTGGCATTTAAACCATGCCCAATTGGCACTAAGGGGCCTAAAGTGTGCCAAGAAAACATCCCCCACACCATTACACCACCACCACCAGCCTGCACAGTGGTAACAAGGCATGATGGATCCATGTTCTCATTCTGTTTACGCCAAATTCTGACTCTACCATCTGAATGTCTCAACAGAAATCGAGACTCATCAGACCAGGCAACATTTTTCCAGTCTTCAACTGTCCAATTTTGGTGAGCTCTTGCAAATTGTAGCCTCTTTTTCCTATTTGTAGTGGAGATGAGTGGTACCCGGTGGGGTCTTCTGCTGTTGTAGCCCATCCGCCTCAAGGTTGTGCGTGTTGTGGCTTCACAAATGCTTTGCCGCATACCTCGGTCGTAACGAGTGGTTATTTCAGTCAAAGTTGCTCTTCTATCAGCTTGAATCGGTCGGCCCGTTCTCCTCTGACCTCTAGCATCAACGAGGCATTTTCGCCCACAGGACTGCCGCATACTGGATGTTTTTCCCTTTTCACACCATTCTTTGTAAACCCTAGAAATGGTTGTGCATGAAAATCCCAGTAACTGAGCAGATTGTGAAATACTCAGACCGGCCCGTCTGGCACCAACAACCATGCCACGCTCAAAATGGCTTAAATCACCTTTCTTTCCCATTCTGACATTCAGTTTGGAGTTCAGGAGATTGTCTTGACCACACCCCTAAATGCATTGAAGCAACTGCCATGTGATTGGTTGATTAGATAATTGCATTCATGAGAAATTGAACAGGTGTTCCCAATAATCCTTTAGGTGAGTGTATATACAGGACCATAGTGCCATGTGAAAAATACTACACGTCCACAAACAAAACATCTGATTGGTCAGTGTCTTGACATCGTGAATTCTTTAGATTTTTTTCCGGGTCTGATAAAGTTATTAAACACACATCCTGCAGCTACACACCCTCCTAAACATACACTGAATGTTTGTTTTCAGACTTACAGACAAACAGTACCTACAACCCGTGGCTGGGCCTGATTCTGGCCCTGCTGTCCGCCTTCCTGATTGGTGGGAGCGTCATTCTAAAGAAGAAAGCTCTCCTTCGATTGGCCCGCAATGGACACACGAGAGCAGGTGAGCAGAGGTGGATGCATATTATTTCATGTTACATTTTAAGCGGACATAAAAAGAGTTTTTTTTATTACTTATGTGTTGAAACTGAAGGTGAGCGTCTTTTTAGTGAAACTCTGGTGCACTGACATGAATCAGGAAGGTTTCTGAAAGAACAAAACAAATGTATTTGGATCATCATTACGTGTCATGCAGAACTGCTGCAGTAAAAAATCAAGATGACAAACAAAAAGCAAACATGGACAATAAATGACAAAAAAAGATAATGTGCATTTGGTTGTTTCTCATGTGAGAAAACATCCATCTGTAAGCTGTTTTTTTTTAAGGAAATAAATTGAAACGAATGACTGACACAGCCAGGAAAAAAATAAATCTAAAAATGGTCAACAGGAATGTGAAAGGTCAAACGATTAGTTGCCAGTTTGCTAAAATGTGTAGTTATACTTATAATCCTTTCTACAACGGATTTTTTTTTTTTAAATGGTTGGAAGTAGAAAGTCAGAGACTTAACTAATTGGCTCTAGTGAGATTAATAAAGTTGTTTGAACCTGAACTTGAAAGAGACCGTTTGGACTCCTGAATATAGCCTGCGTGTTATGAAACATTTGGTCAAACAGAGAGTTGCCCAACTTGGTCAAACCAGTTTTTTCTTTGCACTTCACATGTCACAGAGCTCCCTTACAGGGAACTAAACTGTAGTGTTTCTACATTAAATATGACACTGTGTACTGTATATATTTGTGTGTGTGTGTAGGTGATGGAGGTCATGGCTACCTAAAGGACTGGCTGTGGTGGGGAGGCCTGTTAACCAGTAAGAATTGTATTTCTATCTGAGTGTATAATCCACAGCTCTGTGTCCATCTGGCTAAACTCTCATCTTGAGTGCTTTGTTACCCAGAGGAAGATGAATATCAGTTTAATCTCTGTCCAGTACAGAGATTCGTTGGTCCAGAACTTGTTTAGCCTAGCTTAGCACAAAGACTGTAAGCAGGGGGAAACTGCTAGCCTAGCTCCATCAGCAGCTAACCATCCGGCAAGTGTGTCTCAACATCTTAAGACTTAACTTCAGATCACATGTTGTAACGGCTCCATGGCTGTCAGAGATTCATGTTACGGTTTGCTCTGTGTCCTGTTTTTTTGACTGGAAGGCACAGATTTCCACTGCTGTTACCAGCAACAGCCGCCAACTCTCTACTTTCTGCTGCTTCAGCCGCCGTCGTGTTTACACTGGAAACTATAGAGGCCACAGCAGCAACCACAATGTCGCCAAGTTTCCATCCAAACCTTGAATTTAATTTTCAGAAAATCCACAAAAGAAAATGCGAATTAATGTCTGTTAAAATTAGGTTTTTGATTGATGGAGATAAACAGTTGGCGGAGCTGCTTCTCCGGTCTGTGCTGCTAAACTCCTGCAGAAGAAGAGGGCACGACAAGTTGAGGTCATTACAAGAGCTCCAGTCAAAGCTCAAACAATGGAAAACATGATGGAAATATGGCATTTGTGTTCATTTCATGTATTAATATGAGGAAAGTTACAGTAGTCTCATTTCTCCAAACACACATGAGGTTTTCATTTAAGTCATAATTTGTACGTTTGTTTTTTATCCACACACCAACTAACACTTTTTTGCTTTACTTCAAGTGTCTTTTTACGAATGTTCGATGTTTCCGATATGCACACAAAATAAGTTAAACTATCATCGGGTATAACAGGAAAATGACAGGAGGACGGCTCATCAGACTTGGGGAACTATTCTAGCTGTTGAGCTAATGTGACAGAGTTAATCACTAACAGGACAATCAGTTCACACAGTTTATACAAGATGTACCATCGACTCCTATCTCTTAACTGTCTGCAAACCATCGCTCCTTTTTTGGAGTAGTTTACGGACGGGTTTCTGAGCTGCACACATCACAAAAGTAATGTGTGAAAAATGCTCATCATCCTATAAAGTAAACAGCCGTTCAGTTTGGATTATTTGCTATTTAGGTTCAATGCAGTTTAGGTACCGTTATTAATGGTACTAGCTGCTGTTTCTTACTGTATCAGTGTGTTTCATGTTGGCTAGCCAGAGCCGACACATGTCTATCATAGTGTGTACCAAAATAGAATGATAAAGTTTAACTACAAAAATGTATTTAAATACAATTTAGATAAATTTGTTTTGCTGTTTTTTAAATGCTGGTGTGATTTTCTCCCTGCTAAGCTAGGCTAAACACATCCTGGACCTATGAAGGTCCATCTCTGACTCCGGGGAAGACACAAAATAAGAAGTTGTTTTGAGATGTTTTTCATCGTGTGTATGTGGATTATTTAGCAGAGGCCTTTTCATTTGACTGTACTCCACCTCTGCAGTGGGAGCAGGGGAGGGCTGCAACTTTGCCGCCTACATGTGTGCTCCGGCGACACTGGTGACTCCGCTGGGCGCTCTGAGCGTCCTCATCAGGTAGCTGTATTTCTCAAAGGTCAAGTAAAGTTTCCGTTTAACTGCACTTTGTCAGTACAGAAGTATTTGGAAAGCTTAAAGGTAAATACAAAAACAGCTAAAGCAAAAACAGATTTTTTTCCTGGAGCTAAAAACAAAATGAATGATGGTTCAGTTTCTTGTGAATAACGGATAAACTGACTTGCAGTGTGTGTGTTTCAGTGCAGTTCTGTCCTCCCACCTGCTGGGGGAGGTATTGAACGTAGTGGGGAAGCTCGGCTGTCTGCTGTGTGTGCTGGGAAGCATCTTGTTGGTTCTCCATGCCCCACAGGAACAGGAAGTGACATCACTACATGACATGACCAATAAGTTGCTGAAACCTGGTGATTCTGTCAGTCAGTGCATTTAAATGCAGTTAACCTGGGCTGAGTTCAGCGCCGACAAAACGGAGCAAACGTTTATTTCATCGGAAACGGTGGTGCCTTGTACGCAAGCGCACTGCACTTTACTGCCTTTTCAATATGGCTGTGTTTACGTAGCTGACTGGGTAACTCCTCTAACACGTCCACCAAATGGGAGAAATACCTCGAACGCTGCGCAGAGTTTCAAGGAAACATGTTAGCACTCCTGCATCTGACACATGCAGGGAGAAAGAAAATTGCCGACAGTGTGAACGTCTAAATGAACAGACAAAGTCTAATAATAATGCGTCGATTTGATCGCTGGCGCTATAGTCTTTAATTAGACTGACAGGACAGCTGATTCGGTGGTTGCCTAGCAACATAATAAAACGCAGTTCATTGATCTTTTCCAAATTCAACCAAAAAAGGCACTGCTGGGCTCCTCCATGTTTTCCAATCTGCAAAACGCTTTCTGTCTGATCGGGGCCATGAAATGTTTTACATTTTCTAAAGACAACCAGCCGTACAAAATAAAACTTTCTAAAGTATTTTTTGTTTAAATCAGGAACTATCTGATCAAGCCAACTTGACAATGAATCTGATGGAAATGATGATGTTTTAACTGTTCGGACATGGATGTTATACGTCAGTGTTTAGGTGCACGAGCTCCGCTGTGAGTCAGTCAGTTGTTAGGAAAGAAAACAAAACGTTTCGCACCGTGCTACTAACAAGCTAACGTTAGCTCGTTGCCTCAGAAGGTCAGACATGTGGACAAGTTGGGCACTGGTGCTGAGGTTAGCACAACAGGCGGATCTGCGTGCGAGTCAGCGCCAGCAAAACGCCATAGCCGAAAGACCGCCTGCAGGTTCCTCGTCAGTTAACGTTAACAACAGCAGAAAGTTGTGTAAGACGAGGACGTTGTCTGTGTGTCGGCGTTGATCCACTGTTGTAACGTTAGTTATGTAGATGGAAACATCCAAAATGCTAACACACATTCAAATAACTTACATCTCAAAGATGTGCCGGTGTTGTGCAGAGTTCTGCATGCCTGCTGAGAATTGCATGCATCTCACAGTAGATAACACTTAGATATATGTTGAGAAGTTGGCATTAAATTTCATCCTAGGTGGTATTCAAAAGGTCTTAATCCTGGGGGTACCCTGCAATACCATGTTAAACAGTTTATGCTCTTTGCTCACACAGCACTGGATATGGTATCATTAAATCTGTGATTATGTCAGCCTTTCAGCTCACGCCCTTCTCGCACCTCTCCCAGCACTTGGTTACTCACAACACAATAAACCTTTCCAATATCAGCTGTCAGAGTCCTTTATCTGACACCACCCTTTGGCCAAATATTACATTTACTTCACCACAACTGCTGAACAACAAAATCTAACTTAGGACCTCAACTTTTATCTCACAGTTTGGTTTTCTTTGCAGTGAGCTTCACAGCCTCATACAGCCCCTAGCATGGCTGTAAACACGTAGTCTTGTCTTAAATATCAGAATGAGCTTTATGTACATTACTCACAATGTGCTTACTTATACAATAACACAATAATAACATCAAACACAGGCTACAGTAGAGAGAACACATATATACACACTATAAACAGAAACAATATAGACAGATTGAGACAACAGTGCAAAGGATGCAGGAATAAATAAGTATTATGGGCAGGTGTTATGTACATGAGGTAATAAGTGGTAACCAGTAAACAGCTGCTGATTAGAGGCAGAGTTACTGGGTTATTGCACAGGATTTGTTCCTGACACTGTGAGGCAGAAATCAGCTGTTCATCAGAGTGATGGCTTGTGGGAAGAAACTGTTCCTGTGTCTGTTGGTTTTGGCGTACAGCGCTCTGTAGCGCCTCCCAGAGGGGAGGAGCTGGAACAGGTTGTGTCCGGGGTGAGATGGATCTGTGTTCAGTGTTCATAACTGGAGTCAGGATCGTAACGTTGAAATCACAAGTTAAAAATGGCTAAATGTTTCTCATGAGTGGAATGATTTAATAATCCAACGGATGAGGATTCAGGTCACAGCCAAACTTCAGTCATCCAGATGTTGCCTTTCAACTTATTGCAGAATTATTGACCTTAACAAAGTTTCTCATGGAGGTCTGTTTCTGTTTTGGTGTCATCACACACAGGTGATTTCAGGGAAATGAATTTAGTTCAGCTTCGTATAAAGACTAAAAACAGGGGAAACAGCTTTCCTGGTTCTGTCCAAATATATCACAAGCCACCTACCAGCACCTCTAAAGCTCACTGATTAAAACATCACATGTGTTTAATCCGTACAAAAAACAAAGGGTAAAAATGACACAGCTGCAGTGTTTAGCTGGACTATTTCTTGGACATGCTCAGTAACTTCCTGAAGTCAAATGTCTGGCACATAACCTCCATTTAAAAAGGTGAAATGTCCCCTTTACACGTGTTTCAACATGTTAATGATTTTTAGAAAGCGTGTGAACGAGTTTCAGAGGTGCTGGTAGGTGGATTTTATTAGCTTTGGACAGAGCCAGGGTATCTGTTTCACCCTGTGTCCACTCTTTAGACTCAGCTAAGCTAATGTGCTGCTGGCTGACATTCACCGTGCAGACGTTAGAGTGGTATTAATCTTTTGGCATATAAAGGGAATACGTGCCTTTCCTAAAATGTTCTTATTTCAAGTACTCATTTCAGGCCCCATTCACACTACTACATTTTTGTTTTAATGCAGAGACCTTTTGCTACGTTTGCACCTCCCGTCCAGACTAAACCGGGGAAAACGGAGAAGTTTGAAAAAGCTGCTGACACCGTTTCATTTTAAAACTCCGGAGGGCGTTTTAGTGAAGAACGGCAAAAACAGAAGACTTTAGAAACGACGCAGACGCTCACGTTAGGCTCTCTGATTGGGTCTTATAAGTCATGCAAAGTAGAAACACGATGCTGCTGACAGAGTTTTTGATTTGGTATTTTTATTAAAATATCTTGTACCGTGCAAACAACACTTAAAGCCTACACTTGCACTGTGCATGTCGCCGTTTACTTTGTGACAACTCCCAGTCTGTTTTCCGCCGCCACAGCCGCTTTTAACTCCCGTGTTACATTCAGTCATAGGTGTCATTTACAGTGGGGACGCGGGGACATGTCCCCACCACTTTTTTAAAGCAAAATTTGTGTGAAAACTTTCTGAAAACGTTTTGCTTGCAGTTAAATAACAAATGAAAATGCCTTTAGAAATGTTTATATGCACAATAAGAAAACATGCAATGCGATTAAAATATAGAATAAACAATTTTGCATTATCCAAAAAAAGTAACTTAAGTGTGAACAAAACAGGCTACTGATTATAAAATGACCCAAAAACATGCATGCACCAGTCAGTAACTTTAACAATTTCTTTTTGTCCAAGTTCTTTTTCACAAAAGAGGAGGGCTGAGAGCATTATATTATATTTATATATTTTGAAATGTAATGTGCTGCTTGAATTGAGTTTCTTTTTACATAAATAAAAACATTTCCACCATAAATTGGTGCAGAAACTTTCACCAGAATGCAGGAAATTAAGTGTGGAAAGATCAAAATTTCCTGGGGAAATATATCTCAGCTTTGAGGATATTTTTAAAACACTGTTTAAGGATGTTTTCGTCTATTTCTCGTGGACTAATATCCTTGTGTCTCTTCACACCCCTAATCTGACCCCTATGTTCCCACCACTTTTCAACACAAAGTGACGCCCTTGCATTCAGTAACAGTCCCAGCTCGTTATTGGTTTGGTTATTTTCGTCTGCAGTACTTTATTCTTTCGCCAAACCATCTGCTTCATGTTTACACTGGCACGCACACGCCCAGCGTACGTGAACGGCCACCAGATGTGCGTTTTCAGTCGTTTTAATACAGACGTAGATCAACTCTGATACGCAGCTAAAACGCTGCTGTGGACGGAGATCGTATTTGTTTTAAAACTCGTAGTAGTGTGGATGGTGCCTGAGAGAAACCAGGTCAACACAGCTGGACTTCTGTAATACACTGAAAATGTAGAGCAGCTGAAATGTGATTCTGGCTGTTTGCCTACAACACGATAGAGAAACAAACAGAGACACTTGACCTGCCCTCCAAAAGTTCACTGGCTGTTGTATAAATACATTTGGTTACTAAAGAAATGTTATTTCAGTTAAATAGGATGTTTAGTGTTCATGTGTTGTGTGTTTTCAGTAATAACTCTTTATGTAACCGTCTTAGGTTTCCTGGTGTACATGTCGGCGGTGTTGCTGCTGTGTGCGGTGCTCATGGGGTATTTCTCTCCTCGGGTCGGTCGCTCTAACATCCTCGTGTACATCAGCATCTGCTCATTGCTCGGAGCCTTCACCGTCTCCTCCGTGAAGGGCCTCGCCATCGCCATCAACACCTGTGAGAGACATAATACATTACCATGTTTTTACGCATTACAAAAATTGATTGTTAAAGCATAGAAATGAAAAGAAAAGCTAAAGTATTGCTAAACATTTTATATGTGCTGAGATGGGGAGCTGGTAAAGAACAGATGTAATTACAGACGTGAGGCTCTGATTCACGCCTCTTCTTTTGCATCAACTTTCTGCTTCCTTCAGATCGCCTGAACGAACAAAAACAAAGAATATAAATGGCAGCTGTTTATATACTTGTTTTATCTTAAATCTTAACCTACTTTTCAGCTAATGCTGCAACTAATGATTATTTTCATTATCGATTAATCAATAATTATTTGGGCTATAAAAGTCTACTAAAAATCAAATTTCTTACAATTTCCAAGAGCAAATTCTCACATTAGAGAGACTGCAACCAGGTAATTCTGTTATCATTGTTACTTGAAAAGTGACAGATATTATCCACTGGTTGTCAAAATAGTACCTAATTATTTTCTGATGAGAAATTAATCAAACAATTGAATCATTGCAGCTGTCAAATTGTTTCAGCCACATAGGCCTCCTGTTCTGCTCTATTTGTCAACGCGTTTTATTCACAAAAATGTAACAGAAGAGTAACAAGAATAATTTCACTATGCACAGTTTCAAGGTCATGCTGTCAGAAATCAGCAGACAAGTTTAGCTGTGTCAGCAGTAATAATTAGAAATGATTAATAATACAGCTGCCAACGACGTCAGAGCTGCACTGTGACAGAGAGAATAGATTGACATGAACAACACGATTAGCTAACATACATAGATAACATACAGTTCTGGTTTGCTTCCACTCAGCAGTAAGCCTGAGTTAAGTTTAACCAGTAACCAGGAGCCTACCGTAATCTGTAGCAGCTTTCATACAGAGATCTCCCAATAAAGAATATCCGCCAATATGCTGCATTCGAAAAAGTTTGTGGCATAATCCCGCAACCAAGTGTGCTTTCCAAAGAAGGTTAAAGTCAAGGGCAACTGGACTTGGTTGAAGATACTGGAAGACGTTTCGTCCCTCATCCAAAGGACTTCTTCAGTTCTGACTGACTGGCAGGGAAACTCAGCTATTTAACCTCAGTGGGGTCGTTTGCCAGGATTTTTTTAACGGACAGTAACTCCATAACTATTGGACAGATTTCCTAAAGTTTGGTTCAGACATTCGTAGTCTCCAGAAGCTAAAAGCTATGACTTTTGTGATCCCCTGACTTTACATCTAGTGCCATCAAATGCTCAAAACATGTAGAGTATCTCACAAAAGTGAGTTCACCCCTCACCTTTTTGTAAATATTTGATTCTATCTTTTCATGTGACCACACTGAAGAAATGACACTTTACTACAGTGTAAAGTAGTGAGCGTGCAGCTTGTATAACAGTGTAAATTTACTGTCCCCTCAAAATAACACATCACACAGCCGTTAATGACTAAAGCGCTGGCAACAAAAGTGAGGACACCCCTGAGTGAAAATGTCCAAATTGGGCCCAAAGTGTCAATATTTTGTGTGGCCACCATTATTTTCCAGCGTGGGTCATCGATACCGCTGGTTCGTTAGTGTTCCTGGTCGCTGTGACGACAGTCGTTACAGTCGTTAAGACTACCTGTGGCCGAGACTGAACGACCATCGTTGGTATCTTCACCTGAGGCCAATAGGTTACGTTTGTTGAGTTTCCTGGGAAGTGATGAAAGGACAGCATTGTAAGTGGGGGATAAGTGGTGGCGTAGACCCCCTCCTCTGTTCAATGACGAGTCCAGCTGCCCTTGACTTTAACCTTCTTTGGATAACTATGACCTGGATGACTGAGAATCTTCACAGACATGTGTGCTTTCACATAGCGATCCGGCTATCCTGAACCAGAGGCGTAAAAAAAGACTGTTACGTCTAAAAACAACAGCATGCCGGCTGTGGCTTCAAATCGGACCGGCTCCTTTCATACAGTGCAGCGAGCCGGCATATTGGCGTAATACTCCCGTAAAATAATGCACTGTTAAAGCGGCTTATGTTGTCCAATTTGTGGATTGCAAAGGGAGGTAAAAAAAAATTTATAGACCAGAGACTTAGTTGATAATGAAAATTATTGTTAGTAGATGCAGCGTTTGCTGAATCCGACTGTCCGCATAAAAACAACAATTTAAAATCACACAGTATTAATTAAACAAGAAAAGACATAGCAAGCCAAATATAAACATCAGAAAATAAGTGAATTTACTTACATACTACTAAGTAGTAGCTTACAGTTATATACTATGTTATTAATAATATGTTATCAGTATCAACATCTGTGGACAGAGGAGATGAACTAATTCATTAGAGAAGACATTTTTACAATCATGAATACAAGTTTGAAAATGAACAAAGTAAATCTCTGTAGCCCGCTCTTCTCCTCATCTCTACAGTAGCCGTGGATAAAGAATTTTATACCTCTCTGGTACTTTTTTTTTGTACAGTGATAAATCAGTGGAGTGCTCTTTTAATATTCATCATTCTCTGTCTGCCTAGTGTTTTATGATATCTCAGTACTTGCTAGTCCTCTCACCTGGATCCTGCTGTTTACTCTCATCGTCTCCATAATAACACAGGTGAGCTGTCAAGTTATACTTATCCACTCCTTATAGGAAAATATGTTTCTCATTGACATTTCTGCTTAATTGACAAAAACACTGTGATGCTGTAGCCACACAAATGTCATTCCACCCATGTAGAGCGGTGTGTTTTCAGGGGTGATTTTTCTTACCCTCACCTGTCTGTCTGTGTCGTTCCCTGCAGGTGAACTACCTGAACAAGTCTCTGGACACCTTCAACACCCTGATGGTCTACCCCATCTACTATGTCCTCTTCACCACCGTGGTTCTGTCCACCTCCATAATCCTCTTCCAGGAGTGGAGGAGCATGGCGGCCGTGGACGTGGTCACGACGCTGGGATCTTTCCTGGTCATCGTGGTGGGCGTGACCATGCTCCACCTCTTCAAAGACCTGCAGGTTGGTGGCCCCTGCCGCTCAATATAAATTTGTTTTTGTAGTTAACATGCAGCTCCACTCAAAGTTTCTAATGACGGATGATTTTTTTAACAGTAACTCCATAACTATTGGACAGATTTCCTAAAGTTTGGTTCAGACATTTGTAGTCTCCAGAAGCTAAAGGCTATGACTTTTGTGATCCCCTGACTTTACATCTAGTGCCATCAAATGGTCAAAACATGTACAGTGTCTCACAAAAGTGAGTTCACCCCTCACCTTTTTGTAAATATTTGATTCTATCTTTTCATGTGACAACACTGAAGAAATGACACTTTGCAACAGTGTAAAGTAGTGAGTGTAAATTTACTGTCCCCTCAAAATAACACATCACAAAGTGTCAATATTTTGTGGGGCCACCATTATTTTCCAGCGCTGCTTTAACCCTCTTGGGCCTGGAGTTCAGAGCTTCACAGGTTTCCTCTGGAGTCCTCTTCCTCTCCTCCATGACGACATCAGAGAGCTGGTGGATGTTAGAGACCTTGTGCTCCTTCACCTTCTGTTTGAGGAGCCCCACAGATGCTCAGTAGGGTTCAGGTCTGGAGACATGTTGGCCAGTCCATCACCTTTACCCTCAGCTTCTTTAGCGAGGCAGCGGTCGTCTTGGAGGTGTGTTTGGGGTAGTTATCATGTTGGAATACTGTCCTGCAGCCCAGTCTCTGAAGGGAGGGGATCCTGCTCTGCTTCAGTATGTCACAGTACATGTTGGCTGCTGCTCCCCATTCACACTTGAGACCTTGTAACATCAATGAGTCACATGACACCGGGGAGGGAAACTGGCTAATTGGGCCGAATGTGGACATTTTCACTTAGGGGTGTCCTCACTTTTGTTGCCAGCGGTTTAGACATTAATGGCTGTGTGATGTGTTATTTTGAGGGGACGGCAAATTTACACTGTTATACCAGCTGCACACTCACTACTTTACACTGTAGCAAAGTGTCATTTCTTCAGTGTGGTCACATGAAAAGATATAATCAAGTATTTACAAAAATGTGAGGGGTGAACTCACTTTTGTGAGATACTGTACTTCAGTTCATGACACGATACTTCATCATTGAAGGTGCTCTGTGGACGTTTCTTATAAACAAACAAAAGTTATCTCTTCGCTGAGTGTTACTCACCACAATGTAATGTGTGTATCCTTGTGGTCTAATAAAAGTGTTGAATGTATTTCTCTCCTCATAAAACATTTTCAAGGCCACATGCATTGTTTACACTCATGTTTACTACCTACCAGTCTTCTTCTTCCCTGCCTTTGTTAGTGCATTGCAGCATATTTTAGAACATTACTTCAGCTTGTAGATCAGTGGAATAGTTTAAAACCATTGGCTGTACTGTGTAACGTGTCACCCATGTCCGTGTGTGTGCATCCTTGAGAAAGTGCACGGACACAACGTGGTTTGTAATGAAATGTGAAGACATTTATGGTCCCTAGAGGAGGAAATCTAATGAGTTTAGTGATCCCCTGACTTTCCCTCTAGCGCCACCATGAGGTCGACGTTTGTGGTTTGTAACAAAATAGAGCCATTGGATGGATTTCCATATGATTTGGTTCAGACATTCATGGATGAATTGTAGATTGGACAAAAGAATAAAATGTGTTTTTGATGTCTTGCAGGTGACGATGAGACAGCTGACCAATCAGCTATCTCTGCCAGTGGAGAGGGAGGGGCTTGCAGAGGAGCTTTCAGCCAATGGACGAGCAGGAGGGATAGGAGGAAGAGGGAATATAAAAGAGGATAAATATGGACTGATGGACAACATAGTGATAGAGAGTCTGCCTCCTATGAGAGAGGAGGGACCGAGAGTCTTCATCATTAGCTGAAAGAGACAGAAGAAAGACGGAGACACAGCTTTGTGTTTCCTTTCTGGACTGGTCAGTGCTGTAGTCCTCTCTCTGACTGATATTCTTTTTTTTTTAAGTCCGAGCCTCTTGTTTGTTACAGTTAACCCTGAACACACTGTGCAAGTCCTGGAGATAAATCTGAGGGAAAATCTGACCCCATTTACACGTCCTCACTTTATGCATCATCGGCAGATTGGAGAACTACTGGATATCCAAAAAGCTAAATGTAAATATATCCACAAAGCTTTCAGGACAGATTACAATCTACAAACAAATTACTACACAGAGAATTAGAACAACAAAGGGACAAACAATATCTACAAGGAGACAAAATGACCACAAAAGATACAAAGCGACTAGAAAAATAATTTAAATAACCACAAATACACATAAAATGACAACAGAGATGCAAACTGAGACCAATAGGTGCAAAATGACAACAAAATGGTTACAAAGATATGAAAAATGATCACAAACTGATGAAAAACGACCACTGATGCAAAACGACTACAAACTGATGCAAAACGACTACAGAAAGATGCAAAACAACTACAAACTGATGAAAAACGACCACTGATACAAAACGACTACAAACTGATGCAAAATGACTACAAACTGATGCAAAATGACTACAAACTGATGAAAAACGACCACTGATGCAAAATGACTACAAACTGATGCAAAATGACCACAAACTGATGAAAAACGACCACTGATACAAAACGACTACAAACTGATGCAAAATGACTACAAACTGATGCAAAATGACTACAAACTGATGCAAAACAACTACAAACTGATGAAAAACGACCACTGATACAAAACGACTACAAACTGATGCAAAATGACCACAAACTGATGAAAAACGACCACTGATGCAAAATGACTACAAACTAATGTAAAATGACCACAAACTGATGAAAAACGACCACTGATGCATAATGACCACAAACTGATGTAAAATGACTACAAACTGATGAAAAATGACTACAAACTGATGCAAAACAACTACAAACTGATGAAAAACGACCACTGATGCAAAATGACTACAAACTGATGCAAAATGACCACAAACTGATGAAAAACGACCACTGATGCAAAATGACTACAAACTAATGTAAAATGACCACAAACTGATGAAAAACGACCACTGATGCATAATGACCACAAACTGATGTAAAATGACTACAAACTGATGAAAAACGACCACTGATGCATAATGACCACAAACTGATGCAAAATGACTACAAACTGATGAAAAACGACCACTGATGCAAAATGACTACAAACTGATGAAAAACGACCACTGATGCAAAATGACCACAAACTGATGAAAAACGACCACTGATGCAAAATGACTACAAACTAATGTAAAATGACCACAAACTGATGAAAAACGACCACTGATGCATAATGACCACAAACTGATGTAAAATGACTACAAACTAATGTAAAATGACCACAAACTGATGAAAAACGACCACTGATGCAAAATGACTACAAACTAATGTAAAATGACCACAAACTGATGAAAAACGACCACTGATGCATAATGACCACAAACTGATGCAAAACGACTACAAACTAATACATAATGACTACAAACTGATGCAAAATGACTACAAACTAATACATAATGACCACAAACTGATGTAAAATGACTACAAAAAGATGCAAAATGACTGCAAACTGATGCGAAACAACTACAAAAACATGCAAAACAACTACAAATAGATGCAACGCGACTACAAACTGATGCAAAATGACTGCAAACTGATGCAAAACGACCACAAACTGATGTAAAATAACTACAAAGAGAATTAAAACATCACAGAGACTCAAAACGACCACAAAGGTCCTTGAATTAAAGTTTATTAAGTGAAAGTCTATTAAATCACATCCGAATGTCCAGATAAAAGACATTTTAAATGAGGGTACATGGGGCCGCTGTCCATTATAAGTTGAAAAAATAAGGAGATGTCTCTGCTACACCTTCAGATTGCCTTATTTACTTTGGTCTTGAAGGTGGCGAGAGACGTGTTTCATATATGAAAACTTTCATTTTACTCCCCATCAGTAACCTTAGTGAACGGCTTCCTGTATTTAAAGAGAGAATTTTCTCTATTCAGGTTTTAAAGGATAAGCCGGATGTGTATTTTTTTTTTTTACTGTTAACAAATCTCATCCAAAACTAAAACCAACAATGTGTTAGACTGTCTCTCAATACTTTCTTAGTTCTTCACCCAGTTTAAAAAAATACTGCTGCTGATCACAGTAGCTGCGATCTTGGGATGGCACCTGAAACCCTATTCTGAATGAGGATCAGTAGTAAATAAATAATATCCTGGAGTGGGTTTTTTTCAGACCGGATAGTAGTGTAACTTCACGCTTTTGCAGTGTGGTTACATTTTACTCACGTCAATGACGACAATGTTTGTGGCCGTGGTTGCAACAACATTTGGTCAAGAGTAACCACACCCAAAATCTTTTTGTTTGTTTGGTAGTAAACTTCTCTTTATTAGTTGTCTCAAATGGAATAAAACCATACTAGTAATTTTGTCAACAGTTAAGCACATGCAGTATGTGCTACAGTAAAGTATATTCTCAATATAAAAGCAGATTGATGAAGATGTGGCCAATCAGTTTTCAAGATTATGATCCTCTCTTTGTTTCAGATGTCTTACTGAGCTGGATCAGATCTTGAGCAGGAGAGTTAATCTGTGAGTTGCGGCTTTTAGTTTTAATAACTCATGTTTAGGGAAATTAGCACCAGCCAAGCTCTTCAGACACAAAACTATAATTTACTATTGAATTTCTGGTGAATTTGAACATTTAACTATCACTGGCTGGTAGATGTTCACATATTAACAAGTGAATTAACAACCCTGGTGTTTTCTATTCATTCCAGTATCTTTTGTACTGTTACCCTACCCGAACTGACTGAATCCTGGTCAGAGACCTCCTGGTTCTAAGCTAATTCAACCTGGCTAGCTGACGTAGCTTATTAGTAAAGTCGGAACGGAACAAATGATCCAGACGCATCATGGGACTGTGGAGAACTGCGCCATATTCAGAGATTCACCAGATATTCAGAGCTGAGAGCTTTAAACAATCTATTCATTGTTGATTTAGATCTTTTCATGGATTTGTTGACCTCAAGAAAAATTAAGACTTGAAAGAAAAAAACTAACTAAACTTAGACGCTTCAGTAACAAACTTCAGTAATACACTCATAATAATAATATAAATGATCTTATTTGTGACACCACTCTAAAAAAGTTTAATATTTGTCACCAGTTCTGTTTAACTCTGTTGTTGTTTAACTCTGTTGTTGTTGTTGGTAAATCTCTTTACTTATATGTGTTTTTTATTTGTTTACTTTCTGGTATATTTGCTCATCTCGTATCTGTTTAACCGAACCAATTATGACGTATTTTTAGATTTGGGGATTTTTGAGCCACTAGTGTTTACCGCTGTCAAACTACAGGCCCTAGAGGCCTAGAGCTGACAGATGAGTTTGCTTTTATTAACAGAAGCCAAGCCAGCAGAGTGAGACAGTGGATGGTTCAGTCTTCTCCTCATGTCGTGATTGTCTCTCTGCTGATGACCAGAGTTTATGAAGCAGTGACTGTTTCTGTGAGATGTTTACAATAAATTTCAACTTTTATTTTCCTGAAGGGGAAATTTGTCTCGCAGCAAGGAAAAACACAAACTCCCATTACCTTTGAAGCGCTCATTAAGTCTGAATGTGTCTGTTCCTTGATTATTTATCTTCCTTTACTCTGTAAGGATCCACCGATCAAAAGAATCAAAACAGCTTTTCATAAAAATGAATCCAAGTTGTGAATCCTGTCATGTGAAGTCCGTCGCTCTGTCTGCTAACTTCTCTCATCCTGCACCCTGTTGTTGTTTTCCTTACGTTGCTGCCTTCAAAATAAAAGCACGCAAGCCGTCTGTCAGTGCTGGATCAAATGAATGACGTGTATTTGAAATTATTGGATAATTTTTATACAAGTAATATTCTGTTTGAAATAAATAAACTGTTTTATAGTAGCTTATTTCAGTTTTGTGCGAGAGGAATTAAAGGTGATTTTAGCAAATAAAAGCCCGGGTTGTTAATCAAAGTTTTACGGCAAATCTAGTCCTTGAATATTATGCAACTCCCAATCCCATTCATGTTTGGGCCGATACGATACATCACACATGCTGCCTGCAATGAAGGAATAAAAACACTGTATTATGTTTTGGGATATAGGCAGCAGTTATGCAAAGTGTGTGTGATTTGAAGTTAAACTGCCTCAAACAAAATGCAATTATTTATGGTTGACTGATTCTTATGCCTTGACTAGGAGAGGAGAGGGAGTGGTTTTATTTTGTATGGTGCATTTCAACAAAATGTTCGTATGTTTAAATTATCTTTAAATCTGTTGATTGTTTCCTTATTACTCTGTTTATTTAACCAGGACTCTTAGTTACAATTCCATTAGTTTATGCATGTTAAAGAAACCTGAGACTAAACTATAAAACCAGAATTTGCATACATCTGTGAAAGAAAACAAAACCTCCACTACTCTCAAGCATACATGCTGGACACACAGCCGGCCCTGCACCACCTGTTGCCCCCCCAGACACACCCCAGTTCACTCTGTGAACACACTGTTCCGGCTCTGCAGCTACTCCTGTGGGGAAACATACTCTCACAGAGGAGTGAGCGTGTAGTGAAGTGTTTTGTCAGTAAGCTCAGCGGACTAATTATCCAGCAGCAGAATCACCAAGCGACAGACAGACAGAGTGTCAGACAGGAAACTCAACAACCTGCAGGTAGTTACTGAGAGTCTCTGGATATCAGGACTCTGCTCAAACATTCACCGCCGGTGCCGCAGAGAAATTTGAATTGCAAACTAGTGGGACATCCAGCAGGACTGGAGCCTGAGTTGATCCAACTGCTGGTCACTGAACGCCTCACCCAAAGCTTATTAAAAACAAAAGCACTCAGCAAAACAAAATGTGAGTTGTTATCAGTCTACGTGTTGTGATGTGAGAGTCCAAAAACAGATTCTGTGAGGACAACTCTTCCAGCAGATGGAGCTTCACTTCCAGGTTTTATCTAAAGGACTTTGGATCTACAGTTTCAGAAGGGTACAAACAAAGTGACAAAGTGAAAGACAGGGTTTGAATATTCTAGACTTTGTGAATAAATTATAATGCGAATGAAGCAGGTACCATCAGATCAGTGTTAATGACGTCATCTCCTCTTCTTCTGTTCCACCTACTGTTTTTTTTTTTTCCATCAACCAATTAACTTATATTTAAACTGCTCTATTTACATTAACAGTAGCAGATAAAAAGACAAGTTAACTCACATTTTCATTTGCTTTATTATCTGGATATTTGTTTAAAAATGTATAAATCATTCATATATTCTAGTAGTAATATTTATATACATGTATAACTATTTTAATTGTGCTTATCAAAGTCAGCGATTGCGAAAAGCAAACATAAAACAGTAAGTAAAATTCAACGGGTAAAATTTTACTGTGCACTGAGATTAATCTTTAAATTCTGACCTCTCTCTGTGTGACTTAGTGAAGGAGTTTGCGTCATTCAGTAAGTCTGTTTTTATATTTCTAACTTGTTTTGTGCTCATGATGTTCCTGAACTCTCCAGACCTGCAATAACTGAGTTTTCCTCCACTTGTTTTCAGCAGAAACAAGTTGTGCACCTTTTAAAAGTTGATATAAGCAACAAACACTAATCCAGCCTTTACAGAGCAACATACATTATCATAAATTTGGAGTTGTGTTTGTGTCATCTGATGAACTATTCACTCTGTTTTAGGTCTCCACCAACTCTTATCTGGATCTTTAGCTGCTAAATGCTCCACTATGTTCACCAGATAGTCTCTAACTGTGCCTGTCTGCTGTTTGCTGATGAGCAGGTCGTGCTCATACGGTGTTTTTTTGCCATTTTGTGGCCGATCCGTTGGAGATATATAGACATGCATCAAAGCGTATCAAATGAAAGGTCTGCTCGAGCCGGATCGATTGATACCCCGTCTGTTCTAAATCTACAGGCCTGTAAAGCATGGGAGTGCTTTTGGTGACAGGAATGTTGATGAATACTCCTGTTTTTAATCAATATTTCAATGTTTTGTCATTTGGAAATAGGTTGTATGGACTGAAAAAGTGTTTTAAAGATATCTATCAATAAAAGTCAGCATTTTAACGATAAATATTGCCAAAATATGGAAATTCGCCTGGTATATTTGAAAATGTTGTACGATAACTGTTGTATTTTAGTTTATTTTCATCAGATTTACAGTTACAAGGTGTATTAGAAGATATTCAGTTGCATTAAAAGCTAACTCAGGATGGTTTTGATGGTTTATTGCATCAAAATATAGCTTTTTTTACCAGGCGAGGCTAAAAATTTCAGATTTTTTCTTTATTGCATCTCCATGTAAAAGTCTGTAAAAGTAAAATAAATATATTAATACACAATGGATTCATATTCCTCAGCTTCTGACTTTTCAAAGGAGACCAGAATTATGCATCTAGGCCAAATGGTTGAGGAGTTATTCCTGATTCATTTTGGGTTTGTTATTTTAGGCATTTTTTCTGGGAAAAAGGGGCCTGTTTTCATCAGGTTAAAGCTCTATAAAGCCGAGGGGAGGTGGCGATAACTCTGAGTCACTACCTTTTACAGTACACATCTGATCCATTGTTAAATTTAAAAAGATGACCGTAGCAGCTTTAATGAACTTATATAGAGACTTTGGGTTCAGCTGCACAGTCTTTATTGTCAGTTTCATGTCATGCTGAGTCACAAGGTGCTTTTATTGTGGGGTTTTTTGGTGTATGATTGTCACTTTGAATGAGTCAGCAGGGATTTTTTTTAGTAAACATAAACTCTACAGAGTTAACTAACAACTTCTGTGCAAAAATACTCTTAAGCTTAAAGCACCTGCTCTTCTGTCCATCTGATTAGCTCCAGGTGTGGTGAGTCACTCTCTGGACCAACCATGGATATCATGTTCTGTTGACCAAGGACTGAAGAAAAAGTGAGATGACTACTTCATCCTCTTTGCCTTCTTTCTTTCTCCGGTAAGAATAACTTCCTGCGTATGCAGACTGTTTGATCTGCCATAGTAGGAAAAACGCAGGTGTTACTAATAACGTTAAAAAACGGCTCCAGTAAG